TCGAACATCACCAACACCTCAGCCAACTAAACCGTGTGTTCGAGGTTGAACTCTTGCAACAATCAAATCAATACCACCCCGCAAGTCTCAGCGCCACATTCAAACAAGATGGTATGCTATGGCATCCCAGCGCTCATGTACACAGTGCCCTGGTCTAACGCTTACCCAGTCTCTCCGCATCGTCCCCCACAAGGCGCACTCCACGCAGACCGCTCTGGAAACTTCAGCCCCTTCAGCCCCCGGTGTCCACGATACCCTGCGCTCTCGCCTCGGCCAAACCACCACAGCATCCAGCGCCGCCTCATCGTCGACAGCACCCGTCGCTCTCCAGTCCGCCCACCCTCTCGAGGCCCGTCTCACCCAATGGCGAGACACCCAAGACCGCCTGAAGATGGAGATGCTGAGGCGACAGTTCGGCATCGCAGAGCCAGTGCGTAGGGGTATGGAGCTCAAGATCGCCGAGGCGGGCGAGTGGAGGCCGGCAACTCTAGGTGGAAGCAGCAACGTCCACCGGGACATTCTGCAGGGACGGGACACCGAGATTGGCTGGGAGGATGTCTTCACTGGCAACGAGCTGCGTGAGGTGCCAGACTTCCACACGGAGATTGAGCACAAGATGAAGATGAACTGGTAGAGCGTTTATGGTGCTTGGGCAGAACACATGGAGGGCATACTGAATGCATTGGTAGCGACACTTCATTTGCCCAAGCCATACTACGGACCGTTTACGATATGGACAACCGGCGTTGGCATAGAAGCAGGACACGAATGAAATAATGATACGTTCACCAGCATGGCTTGACTAACCTGCATGTATTTTCTCTTGGTGGACACTGGAACCGAATACAACCGGCATGATTGGCGAATCGACATGGACTCGGATCACTAGTTTGGGTGTAAGGTCGGCAAACGGCATGATGGTTATTGACTTCGTACGAAGAAGTTGGTCTTTCACGGCTGGTCAACCTCAATACCTAACTCGTCCGAGAGCTATTCGTTGTATCCTTGCTGAAGGGAACTGTTCCAGCAGCTGTGCATGCCTGAAGGTTGCATTCTGGTTTTGCATGACTGATTGATCCTTCGTCATAATGATCTGATATTCGACAGATATAGCGTTCTGGCAACTGGCTAGGAATGGTGAAAACGTCAGGACGCATATTCTGTGCTTATGACATGCTGAACAAGACAGTCTACTATCATTCCCAGGGTGTCTCGGAACGAGCCCCGGGTCCACTCGGACTGCTGTGCATGTGGCGTAAAGCAGATGCATGAACAGCTCAGCTGACCAATAATGGCCATGGGCATGCAATGCAGGGGCAGACGCTTGGGGAGCCAGAACCTGGCGCGTTGTGGGCGGCCTAGCAGTGTAGGCAGTGACAGGAGAAGCACAAGTCGGCTGGCTGTGAGTTTGCTGGTACACGTCTATCGGTACCAGCAAACATTGGGCGGATGGCATAAGCCCAGGTATTGAGGCGATGTTCTCGGCTCAGTAGTGGCTCTGGGTGGAGACGGCGGGTCGCTCTTGCCGCGTTTGCGGATTGCGGAGAAGGGCATAACAAGGCGGCGACGGCGACTTCCCAATCGCGCACGGTCGCCCGACCTTCTCTCTCACGCCCACAGGCCCGATACATCTCAACACCAAACTATTTTTCGCTGCCGCGCCCTCTGCAACAACGACGCCTGCCCGGAAGAACCCCCCCGCCGTGTCATCGTCGTCCCCTCGCTTGGCCCGTCCAATCGCTCCCCTTTCGCATCGCCGCCGCCCGTCGCGAGTGCAGTCGGCCGACCACCATGGCGTCTACAGCGGACCAAGCCCCCACGGCACCGCAAACCACTCCACAACAGCCCGCCGCAGGGTCGCGACCGCAGAGCAGCAGCGAAGGCCTGTCGTCCAGCCCCGTCGAGATGAGGACTCTCCAGGCGTCGGGCGCCGTCCCAGCTCCCGCCAGCACGAGCACGCACGTCGCAGAGACCCCCATTCCAGCCGCGATAGCAGCTTCCACACCACACGTGACCGAAATCAGCGCCTCTGAGGACGCGCCCGTCGCTGCTGCCCCGTCTGCGAAACCCGCACCGCCTGCTGCGTTAAATCGCGCAGAGACCGAGGCGATTGGGCCGTCGACCGACACACCAGCCGCGAACCCAGACAACACCAATGGCCCCGTGCTGGTCATAATGCTGCTCCTCACCAGCGGCTCGAGACACCCCTACAAGATTGAGGAGAAGTACCTCAAGAAGCGCAACGTCAATGTCGAGAACATGGACCCCTACAACATCAGCGTATACACGCTCAAGGAGCTGATATGGCGGGACTGGCGAGAAGGTACGCATGCGCATCTCCTCTCTACGTGGCACAAGAGCTGAGAGAAGCTTGGCTCGACAGTGGGGTAACTATATTGACGTCTTCGGTCTTGATCTGCGTGGTGCCCAAAGAGCATCCCTTTGCAGCCTTCCTCGTGCAAACCGCTAACTCGTCATTACAGAATGGGAGACCCGGCCCACATCGCCAGGCTCAATACGACTGATACACTTTGGTCGCATGCTCGACGACAAATCTCCACTGAAGGGTAAGCACCTCCATCTCATCACCTCATGTCAACGTTCTTGGCACGGCCCGTCCAATCGCTCGGCACATGCCGATCATTGGTTAATGCAGCCACGACGCGCAGCCCGCATCGATAGACACTCCAGACTCCAAGGCCAGCTACTGACATCGGACAGACTGCCGGTTCCAGACAGACTCGCCTAACGTGGTGCACATGACGGTCAAGCCACAGGAAATGGTGGACGACGAGGAAAACGCCAAGACAGGCAAAACCGGCAGCCGAAGAGACAACGACGAGGAACCTACAGCTGGCTGTCGCTGCATCATTTTATAGGCATGTGATCAGTCGACGACACTCTGGGTCCGCAAAAGTATATACAACATATCGCGCGCAACGATGGACCAGGTCTTTGGCCCATCGCTTTTCTCATCGTACCCTTCGAGGGTGTTTCTGGTTATCATAATTGGCCGTTGCAGGCGGCTTTGGGTCGCGGCGTTTTGTGAAGCGAAGTTGGGTACTTTCCTCACTCAACACAGTCTAGTTTCTGCTTCCTTGCGAGCATATGGGGTTCGCAGTAGTTTGGTCGAACTTGGAGTGGTCATTTTCTTTATCTTTTGTATAAGTACGTACATTTTCTGCCGAGGGAGTATCGCTGGGTCAGGGGAACATGGAATAGACCGTATTGAATCTTGTGACAATCCTTTTTCATTTGAAGTAATTAGAGTAAACGAGAGTGACAAGCGACGATTGTCGCGATGCGAGACGCTAGTTGGGCGATGGTATCGTGTCAAGGTGTTCGCAGCTGCCAGGTGGACCCTGATCCCGAGGTTGTGTTCGATGCCGTCATCAACGCTTGAGCTAAGCTCCGATGTCTCTTCATCACACCACGCACCAATTCCTACGACCACACACCATCACGACCCAATTCCACACATACCAACATGGTGCTCCAGGACGTCGACAACACAGCCCCGGAAGGCTTCACAGATAACCCATATCCCTCCTCGAACGATCCATATGCTTCCGCGTCGCCGCCCTCTGATGGCACTCGCTTCGACGCGAGCGTCCTGCCCCAGCCATTACCGATTATAGGCACCTTCATGGGCTTCTCCGATCGCGCCGTTCGCTTCAAGACCGAAACTACCCTTAAATTCGCCGAGCGCAAAGTCGGCCGCCAACTGAATCCTGAAGAAGCGCAGGCGCTCGCATTCCACATATACCAGCTTGAGCAAACAAAGAGCTATTTCGCCGCCACCGGTGCAGCTGCAGGAACATACCAATGGTATCGGACTATGGATAAGATGAAATATCCCTTTTATCAGCCCAAGGTGGAGGATATTGACCGGAACAAGTTTGGTCCGATCAAGGGCAACATGGCGATGTTTGCACGACACACATGGCGATTTAGTTTGTACGTTTTGGTGGCAGGACAGATGGGCAACATCATCGGTCAACTCCTCGCGCAACCGCTCGCTGCGGTCAATACCTCGAATGACCCAAAGCTGGAGCAGTTTGGACAGGAGCTGAAGGCTTCATCGCATGCTGAAGGACAACGGACCGCACAACAAGGACGTGAGATTGAGGATAGGCGACGACAGTTCCAGGAGCAGGTCAGGAACAAGGCAGGAGGTGGCCCGTCACCACAGGCTAGCTGGGGTAAGCAGCCTCAAGGGAACGCTGATGGAAGCGACGACATGAGCCCGACCGCTGGAAACGAATCGTGGGGTACCAGAACCGCCGGGTCAGACACATGGGAGACTTTCTCGAACGACACATCACGACCAGCTCCACAACGCCAGCAAGCACCGCCCTCTTCCCTTCCCTTCGATGACGACGCTTCCCCCACTGGAGGCCTCTTCCAGGACGAAGTCAACAACCCACAACAACCCCAATCCCAATCTCAAGCAAGACCTGGTGAATCGTCATGGGATCGCCTCAGGCGCACCGGCGGAGGATCAGCGCCCCTTCAAAGGCCACAGCAGCAACAATCGCGCAGAGCGGAGCCAGAGCGCAGGGAGCAAAGGGAGGGGTCCACGCTTGGAGATTCGTATACGTTTGTTGCGGGTGATGAGGAAAGGGCCAGGGAGAGACAGCGCGCTCAGCAAGAGTTCGACGCTAGGTTAGAGCAAGAACGCCAGGGACGTGATTTCAGTGATGAGGGAGGTAAGAAGTGGTAAAGACAGTGATTGGAAAATCTACCAACGAAGAAAGATTGATCTGTCGTATGCATGTGCGTTTCCCCGATTCATCTGATTCACGGACTCCTGACTTCGCACAGTGTGGTCACATGCGCGCTTTCACTTCCTCGTCTGCGGAGTGGAAACTCTTAGGCTTCTCTTGCTAGCTCCCATATAATCGCCCACTCACCGCGTTCACTTTTTTGAGTATCACTTAAATAACCTGCTCTCTCACTTCTCAACCTTTCCACAATCACCCAGCTACCAGCCGCCGACAATGAACGACGACGACTACGAAGTGAACGATAACTTTTGGAGTGATTTCTGGCCGAACGATTGCAGCCCCGAGGCCTTACAGCTAGCTTTGACCATGAAGGAGTCTGGCATCGCCATCCGCCCAACACAGTATGGCTTCGAGGTCAACCAGGAACCAGGCCGTCCACATCCCATCATAGGCGACTCCCCGAAATGCTGTCCAGATTCTAAGCACTGGACCATGGACGACGGTGACTGGGTCTGCGTTGGGTGTGGTGCGGTGTACGCGCAGAACTTTTTTCACGCACCCGCGCAACCAGCTTTGGCTCCACTACTTCCTCCTACTGACCTGGTGGTCAATGGCAATCTCGTTCTGCCGCCCATGTCTTGCTGCCTGAAGCCTGACCCTCGTCGGGAAGATGGAGATGAGCGGACTCTGTGCGACCGTTGTGGCCAGGAATACTTCGATTATAAATATGATGAAGAGTTTCAGAAAGCGATCGAAGCAGGCGAGGGATTTGGTACTGGTGGGCCGACGTCTGGTGAGTCAGGGCAATCGATGGGTCAGCAAGCGGAGACTTACTGGAGGAACCAAGGTAAGAGGACCCCGTTAATTTTCTGGTGAGGATCAATAGCTAATTTGTGCAGCCGATTCATACATGTACGCTCTTCGTGACGCAGCATATTCGAACCACGCTCCTCTTTCGTCGGGATCAGCTACTGGATCGAGTGACTTCCAGGCATCCACCGCCTTGACACGTCGTCGTCTACGGCCCACGCGTTCTGTAGACGATATTCTAGCATTGGAAGACGAAGACGATAAGAATCTTGCGGCTTCTCTCTCTGTACCTTCCTTCAACCCAATCCTTCCGCCAGCTCCACCAGTCAATGATCCCACCCCAGGACCTTCAAAGCCCAAGGCGAGACGCGCGATTGAACCACCTCCTATCACCTACAACGTTCCGGTGCGACCCCGTCGGCCTAGATCTCGCGCGCCCACTCACTGCCTCACCTGTATGGCAGAAAAGAGTATCCGCAACATGGACTGCAACCTCTGTCACCAGTGTCACTCCGAACGTCATACCACCGGCAGGTGCAAGATGTTGAAGCCCAAGTTCCACAAGTTCATGGAACTTTCTGTTGAGCTACGTCAGCGCATTTATGCGCTCGCGCTCGATACAGATCGACCCATCAGGCCTCATCTGTGCGACTATACCGGCGACCAGGTCGTTCAGTTCCACGACGACAATGCAGAACATCACTTCGCGACCAGCGATCTCCTCGGTATCACCCGCGTCAGCAAGCAGGTCCGCGAGGAGTCACTTCCCATGTTCTACTCCACAAACACCTTCTCCATCGGCTATGATACCTCGACTTATTTCGACCGCCTCGCGTACCTGGGCCGCTTCCACATGGTTCGCCACGTCCGGTTCCAAATCGATAACCGCAAGGAGTCCATGTCTCCCAGCATCCTGCGCCGCATGAACCAGTACATCAAGGAAGCAGACGTCTACGAGAAGCAGCTGACCGGCCCCGTTGGCCAGCATATCTCATCGCTGAAGAAGCATCCCCAGTACCTCTACGGCGGCTGCCCCGAACTCAACACGCTCATCACACTCATGAAACTCACCTCCCGCCTCGACAACCAGACCAAAAACCAGTACGAAGGAAAAGGCAAAGGCAAAGCCACCTCCGCCACCCCCACCCCACCCTTCCACTCCAAGCTCGTCGTCCCCGTCTCCTCCGTACCCAACTTCATCGCCTACACCGCCTACAAATGGTTCCCGCCCGTCATGTACGGCCTCGGCATCCAACTGCACTACGTCGACAACACTCCTTTTGCCTTTGTCGACGGCGGTACCGTCGGCATTACGTGGGAACAGCGCTTGCAGAAGAAGGATTTTGGCGATATCCCTGATTACGTTGATCCGGTTGATAGTAGCGGGCAGACGGCGGCGTATAAGATGGCGCTTAGACTGGATCCGGGGTTGGAGGGGAGGCAGAGGCCGAAGGCTTGGGCGTATCTGAGGGAAACTTGTACGGGCGGGAATTACGCGTGGTTTGATTTGCCGACTGAGGGGGGTGGGGTTGGGTATTAGGTCGTGGATGGAATGAGAGGGTGATGGATAGATAAAAGATGAGAGAAATCAATGCTATGACATGGAATCACAGTAAGCCACAAAGAGTGTTCCTAGAAAGGCAAAGTTGGTTGTGGAGAGCAATCCCATGTACTAAGACACGTGAGGCTAGAGCACCTGCAGGCTGACTATAAGCAGGCAGGTACGTCCCACCCATCACACCTGACATCTCACATCAGATTTCACCATTGCCATCCTACCCTGATAATTCCATATATACTGGTTATGTCACTCTGCACTACTTGTAGCTCCATACCCTTTCGCGCGCTCGTCCGCGGAGATCACCCTCCGGACTGGAAAAAGACGTCTTGGACCGACGACAATGACATACCCTGGGGTCACAACAGCGAAACATGGATATGCGACAGACGCCAAACTACCTTACCGCGATTGAGAAGAAGCGCTTTGGAATGTGTAATATGCAGCATGCTTATGCGGGATCTGGAAACACGGCCGGTTTACAAACGAGTCGCACAAGAAGTAGATGTGGAAGTCGCTCCAGCATGGCTTCATCTATCCGAATCTGAAACATACGGCACAAAGCTGGATCTCTATCTAGACAAGGGCATAAATGAAGCTACTGCTGTGGAGTTTCGAAATAGATTTGGTATGTTTGGATAGGATCTTGTTGCCGACCCATTGCGAGAACGCTAATCCAAGATAAGATACCCCATCTCCGAACTTATTCAAGCCAGTAAAATTAGAAGACTCGCTTGACTCAACGCCAGTGAAGCAATTTAGGGCTTGGTTTGATAAATGCAACGCCCGGCATGAGAGATGTTCTGCGATCCAGCAAGATTCGTTGTTGCCTACAAGAGTGCTGGATCTCGATGACATGCCCAGTTCCGACGCTCTAGCCGAAAACATGAAGCGGTGGCCAGAACTGTTATCTCAATCCAAATGTAAGCTAGTCGAAACGACCGCTGATCAGAAAGGGAAGTACGCAACGCTGAGCTATTGTTGGGGAAATGGGTTGCCGTTCATGACTACCACAGAGACGCTTTCAATGCGAAAGAGCAGCATCGGCTTTCAAGATCTTCCTAAGACGCTTCAAGATGCTGCTATGGTGGTGCGGTTCCTTGGTCTACGGTACGTATGGATTGACTGCCTGGCAATTGGTATGAACCGACTCCTCTGTATACAGTACATATGCTAATGCTTATACTCTCGCTCTCAGTACAAGATGACACAGCAGACTGGGAAAAAGAATCGGCTGTCATGGCCGACATCTACTCAGGATCATACATTAACATTGCTGCATCCAACGCTTCACATTGCGGAGCAGGCTTCCTAGGACCACGGAAGATGCCAATGACTGAACGTATTGAAATCCACGATAGCGAAGGTGATCTAGAAGTATATCTAGTTGCCCAACAGACACGCAACTACGTAGGCTCCATCCCCCGAGACGCCGTCGTCTCCTTGCTAACAAAACCCAGGCACTACCAAGCGATCCCCTCGAAACACGAGCCTGGGTCCTCCAAGAACAACTCCTACCATCCCGCTCCCTCCATTTTGGCAGCGCCAACATGTTCTGGCGCTGTCCCGACGGCATCTCGCACGAAGAGCAAAGGCGAGGCTGGACGCACCTCTACACCCTCGACGCCGTAGTCTACAGCATCAACCTCCCCATCGGTGCCGCCATCGGCCTAGACGCATGGTTCCAACTTGTCCGCGACTATACCGCCCGCGGGATAACATACCACAAAGACAAGTTCCCAGCCATCTCAGGCGTCATGACAGTCTTACAGCGTATGACTGGCGACGTCTGCGCCGCAGGACTGTGGAAGCGGAATTTCGCAAAGTGGCTCCTGTGGGTACCTAGGCATGATGTTGCGCCTTTTAAACGGTCTGACGTTTGGACGGCACCGTCTTGGTCGTTCATGTCTGGGGAAGGACCTGTGGATTACGGATTAGGTGATCTTACTACAGGTATGAATACTTCGCTGCGAGGCTTCTGTGCATTTCTTGAAGAATGCAGGGTCGTGCCTAAAGGACTTAATCCGCTTGGTGAGTTGAAAGATGGGTGGGCAAAGATCAGTGGATCGGTGACCGACGTTACTGCTATCGGGAAAGATGTAGCGACAGGGAAGAGTCCGTATCGGTCGTGTAAGGTGCAGATGCGCGATCAAAGCTACCGTGATGCGCGCGTTCTTTTCGATGTCGAGGCATATGAGGCTTGTGAGGTTCTGATCGTTGCGCCGGCTTTGGGTGTGGCAATCATTAGTACGGATAAAGAGCAGGGCGAGTATGTGAGGGTTGGACTGGTGGTGATTAAGAGGGTAAAATCCGAGGTGAAGAAAGATGTAAGTACAAATACGGTCAAAAGTGACGATGATGAGATCGCTAACATCATGGTAGCAGTCGAAAGAGTGGTACCCTGAAGCGGAGGACTATTCCGAGCCACGGTCGATTGTTCTCCGATGAGGTGGCGGACTTGCATGCCAAATACGAGGCGTGTGTGGATCATGTTGAATGTCGGCGTAGAATACGAGCCGCCAGTTAAGTAAAGGTTGAACCAATACTCATGACATTCATCGAGTATGAGCGAGTCTGACTTGGGGGACTCGCGTAGCCTCAGGTTTTCGACCATGGTTCGCTACCGCACATATCCATAGTACAAACGACCAGGAAAGTGGGCGAATTATTTGAGTAACACAGGAACAAAGCTGCGGATATATAAAGTGTGCCCTCAATCATTAGAAGTCACATATCGACCTACAATACTTCAACCCCAAAGCAAAAAATCTACGCATTTGCCACAAACAAAACATTAAAAAGGCTATACCCAAAGATGCCTTCCGAGAACGAACGACCAACCGATGAGATGACGACCCTTCAAGCTCAATGCACAGCCAAGTCATTCCATGAGCAGCTTTATGAACACCATAGGAGGGCGGCGACTACCCCGGATATAATGGGCCAGATTGTCAGACCTAAGCCAGTTCTGTACCATCAGCAGAGCTACATACGCCATCGGTCTGGATGCGTATGTACCCTTCCTTCCTCACCAACACAAGAGTACAAACGCTTTGAGGGTGAATACGAGACCGCAGAACAATTCGCTCAGGATTGGAACCCGGCAAAATTCCCCAAAGCAAAAGAATGGACAAACGACGATTTTCGCTCAGCGATACAGCACTGGACTTTTGATCGCAATAAGAAGAACACACCTGAAGCTATTGATGAAGCAGAAGCGGCACTGTATGATCCAAACAGCGGTTCCTGGGCTGGTATGCAAGAGTGGGTTAGAGAACAACACGTTTGCGAGACAGTATATGTATGTCTCTTGAAAGTGTTGAGACGATATGGGTACTGGAGACATTCCATCACCCTTCGGTCCAAGTCTTGGGACGGCCAAAAGATGACGATATATCGCACGCAGGGGGCGGAGGACCTTCCCCTATGGCTTCAGTGTCATGGATTTGAGATTGAAGATGATGAGATTGTGGCTGATGAGGATGGGGAGGACGTAAAGAAGCTAGACGCTATGGTAGGGGAATGGCTTTCAACCTTGGAAGGAGAGGAAGTAGATATCTTGGAACGATGAACAAGATGGAATGAAGGGGGCAGGATGAGATGTTGTTTGTATGGGAGTTAGAAACCGGCGGTATATTGCCGCGCGATGCAAGATGCAGTATGATAGTGATTAAGAGGATCAAACGACGTGAGACCCCCTCATGAGGAGAGGTAACAATACGTTCCATGCTACAAAAACAATTGAGTAGAAGTATACATCATCTTCTATACTACCTATTTGATCAAATATACCACTATGTATGCAGCAACCGCATGATGCGACACAAGCTCCAGAAATGCCCATTGCCCTAACCTTCTTGTTCGTGGACGATGGGCGCGTTCATACACTCTAGACAACATTCCTGTGCGGTAATCGCAGAGCATGTTATCAACAACGGGTCTAGAGACATCCTCAAGATCATAAAACTGCAGAGTATTGGATTGAATGATCGTAAGACATGTCTGGCTGTTCGACTTAGAAAGAGACTGCAGATGATACGGTAGCAAAGCCCTGGGGTTCCCTGTAGCGGATGCCCGGAAATAAGCTACCCGGTAGAATGCGGGGAAGTCGACGGTCCCTGAGTCGCGTCTCTGCGACAACAACAACCTCGGTGCACCTAGCTTTCCCCGACTCCCTGCGAAAGGAAGCTTTTGCGATGAATCACATTACCTGTTCTCGCGCATTGTCTTTGGTACACCCGGTTGATTGGGGTTAAAGAGACGGATCGGTCGTTGTATCTTTGATGAACACCTCTGGAACCGGACGATAAGTGGAAAGTAGTCGTTACTATGGCATGTAAGCATCTACCTCTATCCTTTCGTGGTATTCTCGGATGTTGACTATCTTCAAGTACCCATAATCGCCGGAGCAGCAGGCACAGCAGCCCTAGCAGCCTACCTCAACGCGAAATATCATATTGCCCATGACCTTAGGCGTAAACGCGGTGCTCTCTCGCCGACACAAGATGTCCTCGACTTCATCACCGACCGTGCAACTCGCAAACGTGCTCTCACGTACCACGCTTTCGAAGACCAGGTCCGCAGCCAGCCCAACCATCCATTCCTCATCTTCGAAGGCAAAATCTGGTCATACAAGGAGTTCTTTGATGCATTCACCAGGGTGGGGAATTGGTTGATAGAGGACCTGGGCATACAAGCTGATGAGGTGGTTGCTGTGGATGGCGGGAACAGCCCGGAGTATCTGATGCTCTGGTTTGCTCTCGATGGGATTGGAGCTGTTCCGAGCTTCGTCAACTGGAACCTCACTGGGACAGGATTGGTGCATTGCGCAAAGGCAAGTGTTATTGGAACTGAGTGGGTAGACCCTGGCTGACTTTTGAAATAGCTATGCGACTGCAGATTCCTCATCGCAGACGCCGATGTTAAGAGCAATGTCGAGCCATGCCGTGCGGATCTCGAAGAGACCGGTATAAAGATCCAGTACTACGATCCCTCATTGTTCGCGTCGCTACCGAATCCGACTCCTATACCAGACTCGCGTCGCGAACACGTTACTGTAGAGTCCCTCCGCTCGCTGCTGTATACTTCCGGAACGACCGGACTGCCCAAAGGCGTGACTTTGAGCACTGGTCGCGAGCTCTTGACTGGCTACAGTGCCGCCAAATACCTCGAACTGAAACCGGCATCCAGAATGTACACATGCATGCCACTCTATCACGGGGCTGCGCATGGCCTTTGCGTTACACCGATGGTTCATTCTGGCGGTACAGTCGTATTGAGCCGGAGGTTTTCGCACAAGACCTTCTGGCCTGAAGTCGCAGCTTCAGATGCGGATATCATTCAGTATGTCGGCGAGCTCTGCAGGTATCTACTCAACGGCCCGACGAATGCATTCGAGCGGAAACACAAAGTAAAGATGGCATGGGGCAACGGCATGCGCCCTGACGTCTGGGAACTCTTTCGCGAGCGTTTCAACATACCCATCATCAACGAATTATATGCGGCTACCGATGGATTAGGGGCGACATTCAATCGCAACGCTGGTCCCTTCACGGCGAATAGCATAGGGCTCCGAGGGCTGATCTGGAATTGGCGGTTCGGCGACCAGGAAGTGAGGGTGAAGATGGATGTTGATACGGAAGAGATCATGAGAGATGCGAACGGATTTGCAATCAAATGTGGAGTGAACGAGCCGGGCCAAGTGCTGCATAGATTAACACCGGAGACGGTGGCTACTTCACCAGGCTACTACAAGAACGAAGGTGCCACAGAGAATAGGAGAATTAGGGATGTGTTTGAGAAGGGGGATATGTAAGTCACCCCTCCAAGCTCGTTGACCTCAACCTGATGATAGCAGATGGTTCAAGTCTGGAGACATGATGCGACAAGATGCCGACGGCCGCGTCTTCTTCGTTGACCGTCTAGGCGATACATTCCGTTGGAAGTCAGAGAACGTATCGACAAACGAAGTAGCCGACATGCTCGGAAAGTTCCCACAGATCGCTGAAACGAACGCATACGGCGTCCTTGTGCCTGGCTACGACGGCCGAGCGGGGACTGCATCTATCGTTATGGCAGATGGAGTCACAGAGTCAACATTCGACTTCGCGGCTTTGGCAAAGCACGCGAAAGCGGTCTTACCGAGTTATGCAGTGCCGCTGTTTCTAAGAGTGACGCCTGCATTAGAGTATACGGGTACTTTAAAGATTCAAAAGGGTAGATTGAAGAAGGAGGGTGTTGATCCGGATAAGATCACTGGAGAGGATAGGCTGTACTGGCTACCGGAAGGTAGTGATCGGTATCTCCCATTCACGAAGAAGGACTGGGAGGCTGTAGTAGAGAAGAGAGTACGGTTGTCATAGTATCTAAATTATGGCTCACCTCACACTAAATGCATCGTATGTTCTAAGAGCCATTTCTGCTCCTGATTGAGTGCTACACCATGAGTTCAACGCTTCCTATGGCCTACAATGACATTAAGTTGCCTACTTTGCATGTTTTCATGTTGGTGTAGGCTGCAGACCTACTCAACCTCTTCCTTGTGTGAGGGGTACTGGTGACTGATTCAGGCCACCAAGGAAGTCCATGTTCTCAAGTATAGGCGGCGCCATCCCAGTTGGCCATCATCCACGTAAGTGCGTTGATCGGTCACTACATTTCTCCGATCCACTTTTGAACGACCAAAGACCCCACCGGGCATCAATCATCGTCGCCCTCTCGACATGCATCGCCTGCATTCTACATTCACTCCATGGCTGCACCATGGGGCTCATTACGCTGATCTCAAAAACACCTTCAGGGCTGTACGCTACGTCCAAGGCGCAGCTAGCCCCATTGTGGCTGCATAGACGCTGGGGCGTAAGGGTCCACAAACCATGATCTTTCCGCCCACGACATTCGTCATGTTCTACGTTGCGGGTGACACACGTGGAAAGGAACGATGGCTAATGTGTTGGTTAAAAGGGTAAGTGATCGAGCCAATCAGGTGGCATGGGGTTGAACTTGCGTGCATTGTTGCGTGAGTCCCGAGAAGAGGGTCGAGTCCGGAGATTTGGTCTGTGGTTTTCGGTGTGGCAGTTTGTCGCTTCACTATATGAGATACTATGGAGGATTTGGGAAGAGATTGAGTGTATGCTTGGACTGTAAAGATGGCTCGTTGTGCTGTTGAGATGGAAAGTAAGTTTGGTTGGGGAATGGGGCTACGTAGAGGGGTCCTCCTGGTGCTGATTGTGTTCTACGTGTCTCTGAGACCTAAATGCGCCACCTGTTGTGGTTCCCGGGATGCCTTAACATACACAAGCATTGATGTATAGCCTTTGGCTGTCCAGCTTGTTAGCCAACAGGAAACAAGCAAGTGGGCAGCCAGGAATTACCTTGGCCTACATGATGGATCTCCTGTCAGAGAAGAGATAGAAGCATTAAACTGTCGGTAGATTTACCGGAGCGGAAATCTAGGTTGTAACCTTCGATAGTTTGCTGTCAAACTGTGAGGCGATGTTGGGCGTTGGGTAGCTCTGGCGTATCGAATCCCACGAGTCGCACGCGACCAACGCATCGTAATTACCCTTCAAACCATACTTTGGAACAAGCAGATCATGCGCTCCATCCACGAACAACGTTAGAATAAGTGAAGCATGATTCAGCAAAACGCGATCGTGATCAGTCGTCCCAGGGTAGACGAAGGGGACAACTGAAGCGAGCCGACAAGCGAAAACGTCAACCCGGATTCGATCAAACCTTCAATCGCCGTTAAAGCGCACCATTCCCCTTTGACCCAAAACAACAATGCGACACTTTACCCCAACTCACCTCCAACAAAACTATAATACACACAGATCTTCACGCGACAACCGCATACAGACGGTGTAGTCAAGCTAGCACCCAACTTCCCTAACCGCCACGCACCTGCCAATTTACCAACAGTAAGGAAAAGTCTCCGAATCCAGCCAAAAACACCACAAATCTCCCCCAGAAACTCTCCAGTTGGTCGGTTCGCTTGCTCCCCACCCCCTTTCGCAGCCCAGCCCCCACACGAAGGGGGGCGCGCAATACTGTATCGATCGCCATGCTCGAGTCCCTCATTTTCAGCCCTACAATCGCCCGCTGTCATCGAAACCAAATCTGAAGTTGAATCGTAATCATCGTTAAATTCAGCCCAACGGTTCTATTCCCATCTTAGATAGGGCAGACCAGAACTTAGAAACAGGTGGCATGCACTGGGCGTGTGATCGACCTAGCCGCCCACCAGCGCTCGGTACTCAACCTGTTACGCGTCCGGTGTGGAAAAAAGGGAAAAGGACCAACAATCATCTGCCGGACTTTCTGAACGGTGTGCGCAGGACTACATTGGCAGTTGGTGCTTGGTGGTGGTTTAATCGGTGCGAGAACTGTGTATTCGGGGCGAATGTCGCGATGCATGGGTGACCGTGGATAGGATCTGGTTCTGTCTTGGTCTGGCTCGGCTCTCCCTCACCTTCGAGTCCCTGACTCGACTCACCAACATGATCGTGGAAGTGATGCGCACGAATACCTGTCGAATGGAAAATGCCGGACGCTGCAGGGCTCAACGGCACATGGATTTTCGCTTTCATCGGGCTGGGCGCATCGCTGAACGGATGGACCTCATTTACCAGAAAACGGGAATACTGGTAACACGGATTTCTTTGTTCCGCTTCGCAATACTGTACGGATTAGTACGAAGACGGGATACGGGTTTTTACATTGGGCCGACTCACGACATATCGTCGTCAGGTTTGTTGTGCTATAGGGGGTTCGCGGAAGCTGGGGCAGGGGGTTTGGCCGCGTGCGCTCTTTGTCAATCTGAAGGTCTGGACAAGGATGGCATCGTGGGCACGGGTTTCCGAAGCTTCCGCCGCCGCACCGGACGGGCGAGGAGAGGGCGCTCATGACGCGATGCGACGCGTCGTCTTTCTGCTTTCGAGATGACGGTGTAGCAGCATGAGGATGAATGCGACGAAGACGGTGTGGAATACATGTCAGACGCCTACTTCTTACACCCCGCGTGGAGGGTAAATTCTCCTTCAGCCCTACAGCGCGCGAACGGTTGTCAGATCAGTAAGCCCTTGCGCGAGCAACCGCCGGTGGAGTTGACCCTGGAGAATTGGGTGCTGACATATACAACGTGGGAAATCCGGGGTATCAGATACAACTGTCCACCAGGACAGTAACGTGAGCAAGATATGACGTGATTTGATTTGATTGCAAATCCTCTCCATGCATGGCCCCTTCACAGGAAGGATCATGCTCCTGGAACCCTATACTTCCGCTGCAAATACAGTGTGACGGAGGAATCGTCTCGTGCTCGGATGTAAAAGACCGTCTCAACCCGTCCTCCGGGCAGCAGCGAAGTGCGAGAGGTGTCACAAATCGCCGAGACCCTTTGCTTCGGGCTCGCACGGGAATTTTGAAACTTTACCCCTTTAGGAAAGCGTTGCGGTCAATCCTTCTTCTCTGCATTATCCTGAAAGCGTTTAGGCGGCTTCGTACTCGCCTCTTTGCCGCTAATGGAACGTTATTCGTTGGTTCGTTTACATGTGAAATCCGCTGGGCAACTAGTTGCGAATTGAACGCAAGGCTGAATCGACAGGTACTAGTTGGGGCTGTCTTGTCGATGGTCCTTGGAATTCTTCGGCATCGGGGTCTGTGTCAACGCTACGGAGCGTTGTACGATATTCGATTCGCAAATCAAACTTAATCGCTCGAATCCAAGATCAACGGCGGTGGAGTTAGAAGGGCGTTATTACCGACAGAACGACCGTTGGGGACCGCCCAAAGGATGGACAAAGTGCTTAGCGGCTTGCGATAGTTACCGGCGCTAAAACATCCTGCCCAGGTGTCAAAGCTCTAGCATTAGACAGTTTCTGCGGAACAGTCACGTCAAGCGAGCCATGCGCTTGCTGACAAAGGTCGAGGGAGGCATACCTTTCGTAACGATCCTCGTGGGCGGTGCACGAACCCGAGTATGGTATGCGAGACAGTGCGACGCCTGCCCTGTACGCGACTAAGTGGCGCGGACGTTTCAACGGCCAACCTGAAGGTATGTTCTGCGAACAACGATACGTGTCGCAGAGCGTGACGGGGCGACACAAACTCTGCGCTTGTAATTATCGTATGCAAAAAGGCTCAGGCGTAGCTGGTGGCCTTGCCGAATGGCTGCCTGCTGGTATGGGTCCCGGAATAGCATGGCAGACGAGAGCAACAGACGAGACACGGTTGAACCCGTGAAGGATGCTTGTGCCACTGTCCGTTTCACACCAGCCTCTCATGGAGCTTTCCACACAGCCGCGCCGGAGTTGACTCCGTGCCGTGGCATCTCGCGCTCTGCACGTGACGAAAAACCGGTCACCGAGTGCCCGCTTGTTATCGTGGGATTGCTAGATCGCATCCGGTATGCCGAGCAGCGAATTGCACTCCGTCGAAGCTGTCGCGAGGCGTCGTGGCGCGGTCTGCGTACCGAGTGATCCGCATGCTTCTTGAACTACTCCCAGATGTGCAGTTGTAGTGCATGTGGAGACTCTTGTATCATTTCAAATTCGAATTATCCATGGTATGTGGAATGCGTCACTGGCAGAGTCGCGCAGCCCCACTAGAGGCTGAATCCCACGAGGCGCAGGCTTCGCAACATGCTTCCGCATCAGGCAAGTTGCTGTCGCACGTAGGATTGCTTGAGACCTACTTGCGTCACATCTCTCGCCCTGCTGCTCCTCACGCTTGCGAAGTAAACTCGCTGCGTGCGAGCAGTCTAGTTGGCTGCGCTCTCAAAGTTATTTCAGTTGGCTCATATCGATATGGTTACGCCGCAGACGCGTAGGTAGGGTTGCATCGGCAGGCAGCCTGACCGGTAGCTGAAAGATTGGCTTGATTGAAGGACTACTAATGGAGGATGGAATATCAATTCATGGAAGGGCGAGTCTGTTTATGGCTCAAGCGAGTGACGAGCACCGGATGATCCAATGGTTCGGGGCTGTATGATCCCGTCTGGGGCACCGCGGGGTAGGTGGTGGGATGATGATTATTCAGAGATCGGCGAGGTTCTAGTGTCCGACGGCGTAGGCGTACTCGCTGACTTGCTAGAAGCAGTAGTTGATGCAAGGAAACAGAATGGAAACTATCCTTGTGTGCGTTTGCGCTTTTCGAATACCCGCATTCTTTGCAGTCACCCTGCATGTCGTGAATAACAGGTTGTTGCGCAGAAGATCGACGGTGCAGGGTTGTACGGCTGCGCGCCCTTTGACACCCAAATCAATATCGCGATGCTTCAACGGACGAAGGCGGAGGTCAAAATACTGACCGATCGCGATGCGGACTTAACGTGGCAGCGGTGACCTAGCCTGGCGTTCGC